GAGGTTAAAGTTTTGTGATGTCACAAGAAGTCAACATGATAGATACGTTCCTTCACTTAGGCTAGTTCAACAGTGATCATGGGCCCAGTTTTTTGCAACAGAAAAAAGATAAGATAGCTGTAATTAAAGGAAAACTATTGTGAGTTGTAATAAGATAATGGGGAAGGGGGAGCTTTCTCCTGAGGCCCAGGCAACTTGATAGCTATAACAAAGTTAGGAGAGCCAACTGTTCAGATTAACTGGTGAATGGGATAGAAATGTCCAAGTAGGTAACACTTAGAAGTTTTAATGAAACTATGGGGGAAGCTGCATACTGTGGTGTAACTGGGATCTCTAGTTTAGTTGTGCAAATGGGGCTTAAGTCATTAGAGCTGGCTGGAGAACAGCAATTCCACTGCACAGCAATGGTTAGGGTGACCAGATGTCCCGATTTTATAGGGACAGTCCCGATATTTGGGGCTTTTTCTTATATAGGCTCCTATTATCTCCCACCCCCTGTCCTGATTTTTCACACTTGCTGTCTGGTCACCCTAGCAATGGTTGAGGTTTCAAAATTTGTTTTCATTCTGCATTGCAACAAAAACAAATCTTTTCAAATGTTTTTGTGAAAATGGAATTATTGAAATGGCTAGCTTTGGATCAAAACCTGAAAACTTTTTAATTCAGAAGGGTGTGTATTTGGGGGGTGTGTGTGAGACACATGATGGTTAGAACAGTGACCAAGGGTGGGAGAGACTCATGTTCCAGTCCCTGCTTTTCAATGCAGTTTTTCATTCCAGATCACTCTGGATCAGGCAAAGCAGGGCCTTGAACCTGGGTCTCCCACATCCCAGGCCAATACCGTATCTCCAACCAGAGAATGAGTCTCTTACTTAACCTTCCTGATGAAAACTTCATAGAAACAGATCAGTCTCCACACAACCTTTTGGCTTTGAAACAGCATATTTTGTCAAAACTTCATTTAATCAAAACTGTTCTGATCAATTCTAATCTGACCTGAGCGAACAGTGATAAAAAACAATAACTTTAACATTGTTGATTTGAGCTCCATTCAGGCCCAGGGACATGAGGCTATGCCAAACAGAATGAAAATTTGTTCTGGTCTCTAAACACACCACAGTGGAGAGTATAAAACAAACTATTAACATGACTTGGTTATGTCTCTATTAAAAGAATTTAACCTATTCTAAAAATGACTTTACTGTCCTGATTCTGAAAAACAAACAAATCTATCTGCTCTCCAGAACAGGGGCTACAACATTAAGATGTCAACTCCTCTGTTGGCAACCTTCCAAAACCACAGCATGTTGTGTTTTTCTTCCAGCTGCAGATATGGATGGACTGCATGCAACTCAAACACATCACAGATCATCTCCATTCTTATGAGCAGGGTCTCCACTGTAATACACAACATTCCAAACAAAATAAGTAGGTCCAATTTTAGCTTTACCTGTGTGAACACTGTCCTTCTAAAACTCTTTGTTGTTGACAGCTGGCTCCTCAGGGGGATATACAATACATATCAGGTATGCAATACAGCAGGCAAATGCTGAATATACAGCTTCATTGTAATAGTTGCTAGCCTAAATAAATCAAGTCAATGCATGCTGTACACGTAACACAACACTTATTGGCTTAATATGTTAAAGGGGAAGTTGAATATATTAAAGGGGAGGTTTAATACCCCACCAGGGGACTAGCTCAGCAGAATTTTAGATTATGTGAATGAACGTTCAAACTCCCTGATGTTTTGCTGTATAGGACTTAGCTTCCTGTACTATAAAAATCTGTTTATGGCCAGAGAGAAAAACCAAATGTCAACTTTACACATGTTAATTCCATACACAGAACATGGACCTAAAGGTGACCATGTGTCCCTGGAAAGCAGGAACAGCCCTGTTTCCAGGATCTCTCCCAGCTTCCCAATTGTTTTTTACACATGCACTAGAGTGCTGTTCCAGCGTCTTGAGGATTTGATTGAAACTGGTTGTTAGAAGGAGCTGATGGGCAACTGAGCTAATGCACTGTGCAGGTCAAGGACTACTCCCCCACAAACAAGCCTGTCATAGTGTCACCCTTTATCTCTGTCCACTCAGTCACATAGTGAGATTCTGAGCAATGCATTGAGCTTAGCTAACCAGTGCCCAAAGAACAAAGTCTGTGTATTCTAACAAACAATGCAAGAAACTAGTTTAACTAGGGGAAAATTTGTCATAGGTCAGTGTCATAATTACCTCTGTAAGCTTTTGGGGGCATGGACTGTTTTTGTTCTGTTTGTATGGCACCTAGCACAATGGGGGCCTGGTCCATGATGAGGTCACCTGGTGCCACAATAAATTCATCCACAATATTGTTCTAGCATAGCTTGTGCTATTCTTTAGGAGTAGGAAGCTTGTGCTATATAATCTATATTTCTTTCTAGATTTCAAGAATGTATAGTATGGAATTTTGCTGCTATTCTACAGAATTATTGCCAAGAACTCCCTCTCATATTGGGAGTCTACATCAGTCAGATATAGTCGGTTTTGAGGTAAAATTTAAGGCATCTTGTACATGCCTATTAAAAGTAGCTATAGCTTTTGTTTTAAAAGGGACTTGAGTAAGAAATGGATAAAATATTTGAAGAAAGGAGAAATCAGAAAAGTGAAAAAATGAAATCTGTGCTCACAGGTACAGTGGATATTGCACAATGGGATTACAGTAGTAGCCAATGTATCTTCAATAAAGACATTATTTCCACAATGCGCTGATGTCTGCAAGTTTCTGTTTTGTATTAATAAACTGATCTCAGCTACATTAGGTGATGCATTTTAGTGAAGGGTACTAACGCAGAGTCTGTCTTCAAAAGTAAGCCAGCTGGCACTAGATAGGGCAATCATCACTCATTTTTGGACTCACTGGCTTGTACCTAATATCACTGATAAAGCTGTAGTACTTTCCTAGAAAGGTTGTTACATTTGAGACTCATTCCAAGTTATGCTAGGGTCTCAGGGCATTATCCAGAAAGGGGACATGTAAAGTTTACTCCATGTCTGACATCTCAAACAGGTATCAACTGATGCAAGAGGAAGTCTAATGTGCTCTGTGTAAAGTGCTGAACTCTGCAACCTTACATTTAGCTATTGTGGACATTCTGCATGAGGTCCATATACCATACATTGAATGTTTAATGTGCTTTCTCTCTAGTGGACCTTACAGGTGATCTGTAATGGAGAAAAGAGAAAGCTTGTTCTCGTTTTGATATATGAAGGAAGCCTAAATGATTTGTTTTTCCTCAAAAAATAAATGCTTATTTACATTAGAAATTCAGGTCTTTTCTGGGGTGGAAAAAGACTGGTGAACTAATGAAAATGGCAGTATCACAGACCCAAGGGAGGGAAAGTTGTGCTATTAAAAGGGAAAGATTTTTAGTCTGACTGTTCAAAAGCTTTTTTGAATGTTTTGTTGACAAATTTTGGAGAAAGGAAGTCTTCTTGTTAAAAATTAATACACATTCCTTCAATTAACTTAAGAGCTCACACAAACACCTGAGACCTTCCAGAGATCCTCCACCAAACCCAGGAAAGATCAGACTTGAGATTTCTTAGATTGAAGAAAAACAAATAAATTTAAACATTTCAGGCCTTTTCAAACAGGCACAAAGGGCATAAGCCCATTTCAAGTCCTTTGTAGGTCACCTTTTAGAATTTGGGAGAAACTGGAGGGGTACAGTAAACCCCAATAATTAGCAATATGAGCATAAGCAAAATTCCTTTTAAGATCCCTGGTAAATGTTTTGCTATAAATGACATTGCAAAAATTGAAATTGTAGACGTACCTCATCCCCATGCATATTAGCAATATACTTGAACTCTGGTATGCCAATGGTATGTTGGGTTGGAAACCTTCCCACAACAAGAACCCACAGGTCTCTACCTTTAAGAGGGGAAGGGGAAAAGAAATTTTAAGTGTCAAATAATACAAACTTTTTGACCAGCCTACCCTCCGTATAGCATAATATAGTAGATTTTTTTAAAATAAACTTCAGAACTGTATTTTGTCTTCAAAGCCCAAGTTAAAAAATGTACTGAAGTATTTTTGTATAATATTCCAGTCTTCAAGCTAGACAGTTTTCTAAGATATTCTTTTAAATTCAAGTTTATTGAATAAGAGATAGAGCATCTGGGGGGAAAACACACACACACACACACACACACACACACACACACACACACAAATCTGCTACTAAGCGACAGGGAAACAAAAGAAAACAGTTTCCTCAAGAACAGGCAAAATATTCCAACACCAAGTAAAGTAGGAGCATCAACTTGCAAAATAAAATACAGTAATGAATTGTTGGTGAGACATCTGGAGACACTGGAATAACTATAACAAAATTTCTCTGAGGTGAACAGGGATAAGGAGTCATACAAATAAAGTTAACTATAATGTATTATCTATAGCAATAGCTTTTGTTGTTGTTGGGGACCCGTCTTGCCACCTTTCCTCATGGGAGTAGTCTCACTGCAGGATTAGGCCTTAGATTATCAAATTTAAATTGGCTGCTACAATGTGATCAGATTTAGGAAGTGAATTAGGATACTCTGCCACTATTCAAAGCTACCATCTTATCTTTCATTGAAAGGGGAGAGTTAAAGGGAAAAATAGATTTGCTGAAATTAATATTCTTCCTAGTGGACCCTGGAACTAACTCACAACCAAAGCACCCATTACTCTGTGTAAAATAAGCTAATGGATGGAGACAAGACTCGTCTTGTACATGTAAATAAACGGACCTAGTAGGTGTCTGTTCTAATTAGCAGCATGTCAAAATTGTAAATGTTAAAGAAAAACAGGAAGCCTATATTATCCTTTTTAAAAGCATAATATATTGAAACATTACTAATCTGTAGCTATTCTATACAAAGGATTGCAATATAGCAAAAATAAAGGTACATACTAACAGAAAACACTGCCTTACAGAGTGACCAGATGTCCCGATTTTGGGGGCTTTTTCTTATATAGGCACCTATTACCCCCCACCCCCTGTCCTGAATTTTTACACTTGCTATCTGGTCACCCATCTGCCTTACCTAGTGGATCTGTGGGCCTGCTTTTTCCAATCTTTTTTTAAACGTATCAATTTTTTTAAACCAAAAGCAGACCACATGTAATGGACCACTCTGATGCACATACACATTTAGCCCTAAATCGGACTTCTTTTTGTGACTAGTAGAGCTTCTGTTTTACCATATTAGAGCCACTTTACATTTGTGAATCTTCAAAACTGGTCTGCATGATTCATTTGAAGAAATCAAATGAGTTTATTCCATACTTTAAATACTTGGCTGATCAGTCCGTGAGTTCGAATACCAAATACTCTGAGCCAACCATGGGTGACATTCACTCAATACCAAACTGCTTTGCAAACAACAAGGCTTCTTTGGGAATATTTTAGTATACAATCTCTCTCCCTCTCCTCTCCTCCCTCTCCCCCCCCCCCCAAAAAACCCTCCCCAACCCAATAAAAAACAAACCAGAATTCACCAAAATTTGCATTTGGTTAGTATCGTTCAGCCAGATCTATTTAAGCCCAGTATGTGCCACCCTTACTCGCAGTTAGCAATAATACCTTACCATACAAGTAGTCCCACTGAAGTCAGTGGAACTACCTTCAGAATAAGTAACTAAATGTGAGGAAGAGTAGCAGAATCTGATGATTCTTGATAAGGAAGACAAGAGATAGTAACAGCATGCAAATCTATTATCTATCTGAGGGTTTTATACTGCTGCCCACCATCATAGTGCCCGCAGAGTGCTCTGGGACAGATTCCCGACGGTCAGCGCGGGCGACCGAGACCGGCTAGAGTTGCCTCTCACTCTGGCCGAGTTCTCAGAAGCTGTCCGCCACATGCCCACCAATAAATCATAGTATCTCAGTGCCTTCTGTGTAAAATCTATAGCAATAGTGAAGTCCCTAGTGGACTTAATGGAGTTTCCAGCACATATCCCTTTTTGTCAAACTCTGCTTGGGATAGGATGTTTGTTGGGGGAAAAGAAAGAAGGGGAGTTGGTAGGGGTTTGGAAATAAAAGTGATATTTAGATTGTCAGAACCATTTACGATGGAAGGCTTTTGCAAAGAGGAAGGTTTTGCAACATTTCTTAAAGATGGGCTGACTCTGGACTCACTGGATCACCTCTGAAAGATTGTTTCACAGCTGGATCCCCTTGCCAGAGAATGCCTTCTCCTCATCTCTCACATCTTTGTGATCTGCATTGTCCCAGGGAAGCATAGCCCTCATGGTGGTTCATAGATCAAAATTTAGTCTTTGATGTAGCTGGGGCTTGACCCGTTACTACTCAGCCTAAAATCTAGAAAAGCAGTATTTGCTATAGGATGCAAAACTTTAAAACAGGATTTTTAAAATACACTTTACTCAGCTTTGACACATCCACTTCTGTTCCATACACAAGTTATTAACTGAACTGTTTATTTTAAAAGTTCACAGGCAGGTTACAGAAGGGAGAAACCCAAAATACATCTCTACCCCAATACAACGCGACCCAACATAACACGAATTTGGATATAACGCGGTAAAACAGCGCTCTGGGGGGGCGGGGCTGCGCACTCCGGTGGATCAAAGCAAGTTCGATACAACGCGGTTTCACCTATAACGCGGTAAGATTTTTTGACTCCTGAGGACAGCGTTATATCGGGGTAGAGGTGTATGAAATAACTAAACTTTTAAAGCACATCCCTTCTTTCAAAACACAAAGACAAACTTGCTGTAGTAGAAAGTCTCAAGCCTGGAAACATCATCTCCTGCAAAGATGCTACTTTTATTCCAAGGTGAAATCCTGGTGCGGCACATGCAGTCCAGATAACAGGACTACGCATTAAGCCATGTGCACATGGGACCAAATAATACTTTGAGTGCACAATGTCAAGGTATTATGGAATTCTTGACTGGGAACAGCTTAAACTAACAAGCTCATCAAGGCAGGGACTATTCTCTAACAATTATTGTACCGCATCTAGTACCTGGTAGAGGCCTATAGGAACTACTGTAATCCAAACATTGGTAAACTCTTGGGATTTTTTTTAAAAATCACAGTGCTTAGAGTTGTGCAATCAAGTTTAAATAAAAACTAAGATGATGACCTCTTGTGGGTATCCATGAGTCTACCTACTCTGAGAGAGAGTTCAGTTGTGAATCCCAAATAGAGGGAGGCACTTACTCCACACAGCCAAGAGTTAGGAAACTAAAAGGTATGTCTGCACTAGTGCTGCACTGCTGTAGCTGTAGTTTAGATGCTTCCTACATCAACAGAAGGGGTTTTTCCATTGCTGTAATTAATCCATCTCCTCAAGAGGTGGTAGTTAGGTTAATGGAAGAATTCTTTTATCAACCTAGCTGCATCTACAGTCGGGGTTAGGTCAACCTAACTGTCACACTGGGCATGAAATTTTTCACACCTCTAAGGGCTGTAGCTAGGTCATCTAATGTTTAGGTGTAGATGAGGCCTAACTCCCTGAGGTGGGTGGGACTTAAGCCCCACCCCTCTCCTCAGCATGTCTTACTGGCTAGCTTCAGCACTAGTGTTTCCCTCCAGGAATTGAAATTAGGGGGAGTGTTTGAATTTACAGGGAGGGGGGGGTAGGGGCGGTCAGGGCCGATGAGGGTGAAGGTGGGCTCTATGGCACCATAGTAAAAAATGAAAAATGTTTAATGACCATTTTATTAGATTTAACTCATGTTTTAAAATCATCACACAAATTAAAGTTGGCTACTCAAGCCTTCTATGAAGCACAACATCTACAGCCTTCTTGGATGCTTGTTATAATTTTGCACAACTCTGTTAATGAACTTCTTGAATGCAGTGCGTTCATCTTTGGTGGCTTCTCGTGTGTCCGATACTTCCATTCTGTCAATTGATATGCTCATTAGATCATTCACATGATCAGGCAGAAGTTAACTTCTTTCAGAACACAAAATTCAATGAGGCAAAAGAACACTCAATTGTAGCTGTTGTGACTGGGAGTAGCAAGAGATGAATTCCTACTTCTTTCATCCCAGGAAACATAGCATAAAGATTGGGTCAAGCCACTAGTGATGATAAAAAAGAAGTTGAAGTCAAATCTTCATTCATTCATCATGTGATATTCCACTCTGTGTTCAAATTCTCTATTCTGTCCTGAGCACATGGCAGCCCCATTGCTGGTAGTGCCTCACTCCACTCAACTGACGGTGTTTTATAGGACAGGGACCTATAAAAGCTACGTAGAGGTTGAGTAGAATGTATAAGTCACTGTTGTAGATTTTTAAGAATCAAGTCTGTGTACTTTTTCAGCTGTCTTAAACACTTCTTGTCCTCTTTACTTAAGGATTTAATATAAATGCCTTCATTAGTCAACTTCTGGACTGAAGTCTTTGCTTCTTCCAGTACTTTTTCAATGGATAGCTCTCTGATCCAAATGGAGCTTCTATTGCTGGACAAAAGATCTACTACTGTTGTAGCAGATGCCTGGATGGCATTGTTTAATGACCCAAGTGGTTTCAACAGTAGACTTACAAGAGAGAAAATGGCAATAGTCTTCTCTGAACGTAGTAGCAAAAGTAATCCACCAGCCTCACTACTTAGATCCATCCCATCTTGGTAGATACTTTCCAAAGCCAGTAATAATGGCTGGAGTAATTTTAAAACAACAGCCAAGGATCGCTCATGAGAAAGCCAGCGGGTTTTCCCAGGTTGGACTAATTTGAACTTCAGTCCCAGTGTATCTTCTATGTTTTCCAAGATATTCAGTCTTTTTGGACTCTTGCTGAAAAAAGAATATAATGAAGACATTACATTTATAGCTTTTTTTTTTTTTT